ACATCCAGCTTTATGTAGATAACACAACCTTTCTTGCTGAAAGTGAGAACTTGAGACACTTACTGCAGAAGATCAACGACTGTAGGCTTCAATATGCCTTGCATCTCAACTTTTAGAAAACATTTTTAACACTGGGCCAAGAGACAACATCATGGTAGATGGGGAAAGGATTAAAACTCTCAGTGATTTCCTTTTATTTGGATCAAGCATCAACACCCTTAGTACCAGCAATCAGGAGATCAGATGTATTGCATTGAGAAAGTCCACTGTCAGGGATCTCTCCAAAATACTGAAGAGCAGTGAGGTCAGTTTGAAGACTAAAGTGCATCTGTTTTAGGCTATGGTTTTACAGTCTCTTGCTATGTATGTGAGAGTTGTAAATGAGTAAAAATGAAGGAGAATTGATGCCTTTGAGTTGGGGGATACTACTGAATATCCCATTGACTTCCAAAGAAGGAACAAATATGTCTTGGAAAAAGTGCAGCCAGAGTGCTCATTAGAGACTGGCAAAGCTTCAGCTCTCATATTCTGGACATGTTAGTAGGCAAAGCTATTCTTTAGATAGTGATACCATGCTTGGAAATGTGGGCAAGCAATGGAGAGGAAGCCCCTCAATGAGAGGATTGCAACAGTGACTGCAGCAATGGCCTCAAGTATGTCAGAAATGATGGGGATGGTGAAGAACAGTACAGGGTTCAGGTCTGTTTTCATAGAGTTGCTATGAATCATACTCAACTCCAAGGCACCTAACAATAACAACACAACAGCAACAATTCTGATTGTTGCGCAGGTTAGAATCCACCAGTGTTTCTGTGGGAGAAAGTTGGAGAATCTCCTCTCGGTAAGATTTACAGCCTTTGAAGCCTGGTAGGGAGACGTTAATGAGACAAATTGGATGGCAGTGAGTTATTGACAGACTGGAAAGGGAGGAGGGTATAACTTTGGTGTCTATTAACTTATGAGGATAAAAAGGATGAGAATATTGTGTCTTCCATGTAGGATTGCTGATAAATTTGCATTCTGGTTTTACACGCTACAAAACTCATTCCAGTCCTGTCCCCATTTTCTTCCAGTTGGACCTACAAGCCTAAGGTTCTTAACGGTTCACATACCAAGGGGTCATTTTCCTTCTAAGTTTCATGAGAATAAACAACAAAATATACACCAATCCTAGTTTCTACATAAAGTTGTGCATCCACCTTCATTGTCCTTTTCTGAGTAGATGCTCCCTTATAAGCATAGACTCTTATCCCCTAAAGTCCTTACCTAGTCTTTTGAGTTGCTGTTGTGAACTTAATCTCATGGTATTTTACAACAGCAAATTACCTCAACTCAGAACTGAAAAGTGGGAGATCATTACACTGACCACTATCACTTATCAAAGAGAACTCTAGTGGCATTTGACTGTGTAGATCATAACAAACTATGGCTGACTCTGAGAAGAATGGGAATCCCAGAACACTTGATCGTTCTAATGCGAAACTTATA